TTATTTTCAGATCTGAAAATATAATTCAGACCAAGTTTAAGAGATAAAACCAAACAAGGGGTGAGGTCTGAAAAGCATCATTTTCAAACAAACCTCTGAAAAGTGCATACAAACGACCCCTCTGTTTGGAAGGAGTACAAATACAAATATGTAGAATATAAAACATTGAAATCTAGCATATGGTATCTCTAAGCCTTGTATTTACATCATATTTACACTCTTCCCAAACTGAGGTTAATAAAAAATGGTACATCATAGGTTGAAGTGGACAAGGATACTACATAGGTGGCTAACCCACGTACGGAGATCTAGAAAAAAAGCTGGATTAGAAGGGAAGGGGCCGAGTTAGAGTTTGGTGCGTTTTTTTCTTTTTCTTTCTTTTTCTTTTTTTTTTTTTTTTTTTTTGTAGAAGGTTCGACTCTGGAACCTAGACACTCAAAGAATTCCCAGGCTAACTGTTTGATAAATGATTTCCATAGGATATTTATGACCTAAAGATGCGTACAATACAAAGGAACTGCATTAGATCAGTGCTGCCCAGCTATAATACTTAGCACATGAAAATCAATTACCATTCCATATAATTATATTCTAATTACCTTTACTTTCAGATAAATTTGCACCAAAATTACGGGTGAGCATTATTTGGTTAAAACCAAACAATCGTATTGAAAATTTTGGTTTAAGTTTGTTTGATTCGGTTTTTGGTTAATTTGGTTTTTGAGTATTTCGGTTTTGGTTTCAATTTTTTGAATTACAAATTCGGTTAATTGAATAAATTGAACTTTAGTATATAATATATTATGCAACATTTTAATATATTAATATAATGAAATTTGATTTCATAACATATAATATATATTATATGTTATAATATAGAATATATTATTAAAATTCAGTTTTAACCGAAATAACCAAAAACCAAATCGAAATTTTCAGTTTCAGTTATTTTGTTTTTCTAAAATTCGGTTTTGGTTTCAGTTTTTATTTTTTCAGTTTGGTTTTGAACCGAATACTCACCCCTACCCAAAATATTACACATTAGGCTTAGTTTGGAAGGGGTGCAAAACCTTATATTTTGTATGCATTTGCACTGTACATATTTGTATTTACACTCTTTCCAAACTAAAGTATGAAAGAAGTAAAAATAAAAATATGTAGAGTGTAAAACCTTGTATTTTGTATTATTTTATATGTATTTGTATTGTACATATTGTACATATTTGTATTTACACTATTTCCAAACTGAGCCTCTCAATTTGAAAGGAGTACAAATATAAATATGTAGAGTACAAATCTATGTATTTTGTATTATTGTGTATGTATTTACACTGTGAGTATTTGTATTTATACTCCTTCCAAAATGAGCCTTAATTAATTCCGTTATTATGTTGTTCTTTCATTTCTTATTTCTTTAGGTTTTGGTATTTATCCCTTAGGTTGCATTTGTTTTAAGTGTAAATTCAAATTTACACTGATGGAAAATTTGATCCCGGTTTAGTGATCGATGGAAAATTGAACCAAGGTGTTTTGGAATTTCTCTCATGTTGTATGGTTGTTCTGATGTAAAAGTGAAACTCTACTCTGGTAAAGCTTCTTGAAACTCTACTCTAGAATTCTCTTTGTTATCGGTCTGGTAAAGCCTCTTGAAACTCTGCTCTAAAACTCCATGGAGCCGACATCGAGCCCGCGGATCTCTTTCTCCGTCAACTTCATCGACGACAATGATTTCATCTCCATAAGCTCGTGCTTTGAGTCGCCAAAGAAGCTTGACACAGAACAGGAAAAGGTGCCAGAGCACAATGTACATTTCGAGTTTCTCTCTAGCAACTCCACCGGTGATAGGATGTTAACGGCCAACGAGCTCTTATTTGAAGGCAAGCTCCTTCCCTTCTAGAAAATGCAACATTTGGAGAAACTAAACAAGATCTCTCTCAAAACAAAGGATGCAAAAGGAGACCATTGGATGGAGGAGGTCTTCTCACGCTCTCTCATCCGAGGCTAGGAATATGTGTGGGCGAAATGAAGGAGACCGTTGGATGGAGAAGGTCTTCTCATGATCAGAGGAGAGGAGGTCTTCTCACGCTCTCTTCGACTCTTTGTATAGAGAGGAGACCATTGGACGAAGAAGAAGGAAATTGATTTTCAATGTAAATATTGGCGAAAATGGACTATTACATTGACTTACGAGGCAATATTAACACCTCTACCAAACATGTGTAAAATCGAACAGGGTGTAAAGTTTACCCCAGTTCAATTTTCCACCTCAAACAAGCGTGGCCTTAGCTTCACATTTTCTTATTGCATGGTAGGAAAATATTGTTCCTCAAGGCCCACCCCAAAGGCCTCAAAATCTTAGACCAATCCTTGCAAACATTAGGATTTGACCCTTCTGGGTTGGAGTTGGGCCCCATTAAATTCGCACCACACCTCTGATTTTCAAGAAAAAAGAAAAATTGCAACTCCTGTTACTAGAAAGCAATAAGGGTCTTACCGAACGCTATTGCTGAATAGTCTATTCTGGAGATTGAATCAAATTTGGGACTGGATCCAATAGCACAACATAGGAAGCAGATTCAGTGAGCACTTTATAACTATTCTAACAATTGTTAAAAGTTGTCTTTAATCTTTTTCAAGGATAGGTTGGGGTATTTTAAAGGACAGGTGTCAAAAAAAAATTGGTTTACTTTGAATCAGAATGGGCTGAAATTTTCCATCTACTGATACCTTCACAACTTAAAGGGTGTTTGGAACCATGGGCGTTTATTCAATAAACGCTGCCACATAGGTACCACTTCAGTAGTTCCCCTCTCATGCTCTTCTGTATGCATTGAGAATAGCAAAAGATGACTTCGGTTTCTATGCACGCCTACTGTTTGGAGAAGTTATTTTTTAAAGTTTCCCCTAACGATGGTTAGGTGTTTTTTCACTGTTATGCTGATATGGTGCCTAGTGGTGCTTAATTGTAATAAACGGTTATAATTATTATCTTTTTCGATTTTGCAAGCAAATAAAATATAAACATTGAATGAAAAAACATTAACAGAACCAAACACATACTTAATAATTTCAGTAAAAAACTCAAATCTACTTTGTTCAAAGATTTCTTTTTTCTTGTTTTAGAGATAGAAAACAGGGTTTTATACTTTATAAACAAGGACAAGTTTGGCTCCAATCTCCATATTACTTGGGTCCAAATGCAGCTGATGTGCAGGTTGACCTCTGCTCAGGAAACAAGGGTAACGAATTAATAGATGAAAGGAATGATGCATAATAAATTTGGAGATGTTGAATTCGCAAACAACCATATCTATGGTTTGTCAACCAACCTAACCCGTGGTGGTTATCTGATTTGACATACTGCACCTCATGAATCATCTCTAAACCAAGTCAACAACAGGAGGTAGGTGGGTTCTTTTAATAAGATTAACCAAGTCATACTCCAGTCTCCATTGAAGTCATGCTTACCCTTGCTCAGGATCTTTCTTGGCTTTAGGTTTCCATGAGATGTTAATCAAGATGATTCTAAAGCCTGTGAAATCATCCAATTCCAACAAATCAAGCACAAACAAGAAAATTTGGTTTACATCTACATCGGTTCTAGTCCAAAGATGGAATGTTTGGGTAGGTAAGGTAACTAGATTGACCATCAAAATCCAAAGTCGTCAACTTTCACCAACTCCGCTCTGTCTTATACATCTCTCTTCTCCTTTATTTTTTTTTATTGAGAAGACCAACTCATTCAAAGTAAAGATGGGCACAGCTCATCTGTATTTCCTGTTACAGTAGTACACAACAAGGTGGAGATGCGGTTCGGTGTTTGAACGGGATATTCTAAGCTTCATATTGGCACTACCCCACAAGTGACAAAGGGGCCCGGCCCGTAGCTACTATTCCATATTGTTTAAACGGGATCACGGTTGTTTGTGTAGGTGTGAGGTCTAAACATGCATGGGGCTTAATTAGTCCAGCTTTTCTAAGGATTATTCGTTCAAACCCACGTCCATAAGGCTGTGTTTGGTTGGAATGTAAATAAATTTGCATTAATGCCAAACTGTGGCAGTGCAAATGATTTAAGTGTAAATTCTGACCTATTTTTATTTTAAATTTTAGTATTAAGACATAAAACAGAATAAAGTAAAACCCAAAATAAAATTAAACGAGAATTTACATTTTTTTTCATTTGCACTTTTATAAATTTGTACTAGTGCAGATAAAATTGCACTGCAACCAAATACAGCCAAAAGGAAATAAAGCGGGCTATAAAGGGTTCATGGCATCATGGGACTCTCGACAGAATTAAACACAACTGTGTGTTAGTGTGTTTGATATTACTGCTATTTCTACCTAAACTATTTTGAGTTGATTTAATTTGAAGCTGTCAATAGTTGAATCAAGCATTTCTTAAAAATGCCAGTGGGGGACTGATAGTTGATGGTTATAGTTTTTTTTGCTGGTTATTGAAATGTCAAATTGACGTTTTATTTCCAACGAGGTAAAAGTCCAATCATTCTAGTTGAAATGACTCAAATGTGAACTAGGTTTTGCTGTTAGTTATTACGGGATGCTAATTGAATATAATTGGAGTACCCAACAGGCTCAATTGGATGATTACTGGCTCATTTCTCATCTCTGCTCCTCTTCAAGAATTGGTGCTTCTTGAGCTTGCCATTGAGGTTGGGGCTGCACTAATTCTAACTCCGTTTACGAGGAAAAGGCAACCTTTTTATTTAATTTTTATATTATATAATGGGGGGGATCTTTTCGGCGAGTACTTAGAATTTGCTGCTAACAAAAGCGTGTTAATGTGCAGTACCGCAGCTGGAGCTGGATTGCCGTGTTGAAAGGGTGTTAACACGTCGATTCAGATTTATGATTTATCGTCGTTTGGATGAAATGGAATTTTAGTGAGAGCAGCAGGCCAATTACAGCCAGCTTTAGCTTACAGGTTGCACCATCAAATAAAATAATTTAACAAACAACTCCCAGTCCCACAGCTTAGAAGTAAGAACCCGGTGCAGCCTCAGCCTGCAAGTAATCCTACTCCTAGTCCTAGATTAGACGGAGCAGTGAGAACCAGTCTATGGAGGTTTGACTTTTGCTTACTAAGGCCAGCTAGCTAGGCTAGCTTAGCCAACTATAGGTCATAGGTGTCCCGGCCATAGCAGACCATTTCCTGGGCCCTGATCGATTTAGGTCTAAGAGGCGACGAGACCCACCTACCACTACCAGTGCCAAACTGAAATTGTCCCCGCCACCGCCAATCTTCATGCAGCAGGACCAGGATCAGAAGACGAGTTTCCCTATTTGTATTTGTCAAACTCAAACTATGGAATTTCTTCAAAACCCTTTGAATTCCTTGAAACAATCTCCCTCCCTCTCTCTCTCTCTCTCTCTCTCTCTCTCTAGTCTATATATATAAACGTGGCTCGGGGTTGGGAAATATGTCAATATTCTAACCCGAGGCTCTGTCATTTTGTCTTGCTTCACGCTTCTTCCATACAAGATACATCACAGCCCAACCCAACTTCACATCTTTTGGCGGAGAAGTTTTCTACGACTGACAACTCCTGTCTCCGGCGCCATTACGCGTCCATTCGTTTATTATCCACTACCCAGATAGTCAGACACACAGAGATGGGTCTGGGAACGGTTACGGGAGCAGGGGCGACCACAACGTCGTTAGAGGATCTGATAGAGAGGGCAGGAGGATGCGCCATTGTCGACGGAGGATTTGCGACGCAGCTTGAAAAGCACGGTGCCTCTATAAATGACCCTCTTTGGAGCGCCCTTTGCTTGATCAAAGACCCTGAACTCGTCAAACGGGTACACTCTTTCTCTCTCTTCTTTATGTTCCCTTGTTATTCTTCTCTCAATCTACGCGTGAACAAATCTTTAGAACTTAACCCATCTTTCTCTGTTTTTAATGGCATAATAGAGCGGCACTATACCTAATAATGAAAATGGACGGATCTGAAGAAGCTCTGTCATTGTGCAGGTTCACCTGGAATATCTCGAGGCTGGTGCAGATATACTAGTAACTTCATCGTATCAGGTTTGGGCCTCTACCCTGACGAATCTCAAGTTATCATACAATTCTATGAATTGTTTTGAGGGGGCATTACCTGTTATCTTTCTGTTATTCTTCTTTTTTTTCTTCTTTTAATCTTTTCTACATATACTAGCATTCTCTGGCATATCCTCTGTATACTGCATTTAATTGTAGGTTTATATTATCAGTAACTAGTTATTTTTGTTCCGGGTATCCAGGCAACAATCCCAGGATTTCTATCTAGAGGACTGTCGATTGAAGAAGGAGAGGCTTTACTCCAGAAGAGTGTCAAATTGGCTGTAGAAGCCCGTGACAAGTTTTGGGATGAAGTGCAGAGTATTCCTGGACATAGTTATAATAGGGCATTAGTGGCAGCGTCTATTGGTAGCTATGGTGCCTATCTTGCTGATGGTTCAGAATACAGGTGCCTGAAATCTTCTAGACTAAGCATCTCATTGTCATAGCTAATGTTTTCTTCTATTTTATTTTTCAGTCACAGTTATATAATTAAAACAACCTCTCCAATTTGCTTCCAGTTTTATCACATGTGATCAATTGGAAATTCATCTAGGTTTCTTGGTTTTGTCTATTCATTGTGCATCCAGTGGGCGTTATGGGCCAGATGTTACCTTGGATAAGTTGAAGGATTTCCACAGGCGGAGATTACAAGTCCTTGTTGAGGCAGGTCCAGATTTGTTGGCGTTTGAAACCATACCAAATAAAATTGAAGCACAGGTGTGTTCTTTGCACAAATTTGTTTTGTATATTTCTCAGTATTTTGACAATAGATGGTTGAATAGTTTTAGTAGAACAGTTTGGCATTATCTTACTTCATGAACTAAGAACGTTAGCCAAAACCTGCCCCTCTTTTGTCATTACAGATGCCAGTGTCCTGAGTTTCATAATCTCTTTTCATCTTATGCACTCTTATTAGGGGGATGACTTGATTGAGTTGTCAACCATCCTTAAAGCATATCATTTATTAGACTTATATTATGATATTATTAATTCTTCCATAGTAGCTGAGAAAATGTTAATGTTATTTTTCCTTACTTCCACCATTTTATTATAATGCCATGTGTATAACCTTAGTTTGTGTACTGGGAGAACTTCCTCATTTATGGATATGCTTGGCATTTATTTCGCTGATGATTAACAATTTTTCTTATCTCAATTTGGATACAAGTACAAAATGGTATGGAGACTTGGAGAAAGCCCTTTTAACAAACTCTAGTGAAAGAATTAAATCTATGAACAAATGATAAGTTTGCTACATTCTCTGCTTATTTTTATTGTAAACTAATGCTCAACAACAGATAGAATTGGTAATTGATAGAAGTAATAAATGACATCACCATTTTCTGTTCCTCTTTCTCATCCACCTGCTAATAGTGCCAGAAATGGAAAGTTTAAAAATGCTTACTGTGCATATTAAATAGTTATGACAGAGTTCTCAATCCAAGAAAACTGTTTTTTTTTTTTTTTTTGAATTCCTACATTTAGTCAGTAATACAATACCAGGCTCCATCATTCAACACTCTTATTCTTAATGCAATTTTCAGATAATAAGCCATAGCTTATTCTTCTTCGAAAGTCACATATGATCATGAAAGATTTGTAGCTATAGGGATACAAAATAATTTAATGTAGCTAAACTACAAGTATTGTGGTGGTATTGAAGTCTCCCAAAACAATTGTTCCTATTGCTGAAAAAATACTAGAGAAGATACAGTCTGCTTGTCAATACTTGATAATTCATAATCCATCTTTAACCCCCATTCCTTGGATTATCGTTCCCTCTCATTCCGGTCCTCTTCCTGTGAATTTGTTGATCTCTTTGTTTGTCTTTGTTTAGTCTACCGTCTACCTAATTGAACTCTAGTGGATAAAAATGGGCAGCTTTTTGTTGCTTGATATTGGATTGAGTTTATATGATTCTGAATTTGTTCCTCTGTCCTACTTGTATAGCCAATTGGTTATTTTCCTTTTTAGACCTATATAGGGGATTTAATTTTAATGGGTGTTTGGTTACACTTGAGTTTATCAAACTTAAAAGGAAACATTAAGTTTGGGTTGTTTAAATTGAATGAAACTGTTGAATGATAATTGGGGTATTTGTATACTAAACTCAATGTTGAGATCAGACACTATACTCTAAGCAATAAGAATTTCTGGCCAATGTTTTAAAATGTGTGTAACACTTTTGCCTAGGATCTCCTTGAGTTGAGGCTTAAGGAAAACACCCTGAGGCTCAACATTGAGGTTCATGCCTAAAAGTACATGCATCACACTTTGAGATGCCTTGTGCCAAGAACATCTATAGGGTTCTCATCACAAGAATGATTAAGAACAATTGAAGATTTCCAGGTGCTTTTTTATTTATAAATATTCAGGATGTTCCAACACTCATTGAGGTCTTGATTTATATTAAGAACTTTCTAATTTTCTAGAAGGATTTGTAGGAAAGCCCTTACTATTTTCAATTTCTTGTTTATATGATGAGTAATTTAACCATACTATAAATAAAATTGTTGTTCTTTTTTTCACATAATTCTAGACTCCATGTAATTTTAACTCAAATGTTTTTTTTTTCTTGAAACAATGATATCTCATAAGGCTTAAACACATTNTTGTAGGAAAGCCCTTACTATTTTCAATTTCTTGTTTATATGATGAGTAATTTAACCATACTATAAATAAAATTGTTGTTCTTTTTTTCACATAATTCTACACTCCCTGTCATTTTAACTCGTATGTTTTTTTTTCTTCAAACAACGATATTTCATAAGGCTTAAACACATTAGAAGATCCTAGTGCTATGCCTCATGCTTCCATGTTTTAGAATATTGCTTTCAATGTTGTAGCAGTGCTTTATTTTAACAGAGTTCTACTCAGAGGTATCGATTCAGGTACTCTGGAGAAACATTTGTATAAATTGCTTATTGTTGTATATTTTTCTTTAATAGTAGCTAAATGGTTATCTCATCCTTGGTCCTTGTTAACAAATGTTCCATTTTTTTAACAAGGCATCTCCATTGTTATGTACCTTATCCTTCTTTATTAGATGGTCTGTGTATACCGGTGTATTTCACCATGGGTTAAATTTCTTTTCATGGATGATCATAATTGATTTTTCTCAGTGCTAAATTCAAGATGCCAGCTCATTAAATTAAAGTTATATGCTTGTTACCATAAAGATAGCCCTAGATAGATTGGAATGGAGTGACATGATTCATTAGTTGCACTAGGATGATAATGATGACAGTCTAACCTTGTGTATTGGCATATGATTCTATGCTTATAACGCGGAAAAGTAGTTCTCCTGGACTAATTGGTAAATTGTTTTTAAAATATCACTTCCTTGAATAGTTGTTCATATATGGGTCAATGTTGTCACGATTTTTCATTTCAAAAAATTGTTTTCCATATGCTGTGCAGGATCCTCAGGTCGATAGCAGAGGCTGTCCTCAGAACAGAACCATTTGATCAGCTCTTCTGATATGAGATTGATAAAATGTGTTATATCTCTGCTACTACAAGGTTGTAGCCTCTATAAAAACTGAGATGGAATATTCCAATACAAAAGCCATTATACATTGGCCTATGATCCTTGGCACAAAATATAATACGTTCTATCAATCTCATAAATGAAAAATTCTGACCAGTTTTTAACCCTTAAGGCTCAGTTTGGAAGGAGTACAGTACAAATACAAATATGTAGAGTGCAAAACCTTATATTTTGTATTATTTTGTATGAATTTGCACTGTACATACTTGTATTTGTACTCCTTCCAAACTAAGCCTAAAGAACACTTTCTGCTTTCCACCAAAGGAGGATGCACCACAACCCTTTCCAGAAAAGCATGATTTTTTTTTTCTGATAAGTGTTTCCAGAAAAGCATAATTATCTTCAAAGTTCTTCCATTTGTTATTTATATGAAAATCTGCACACAGGCATGTGCTGAGCTGCTGGATGAAGAAAATATCCAAATTCCATCTTGGATCTGCTTCAGCTCTGTAGATGGTGAGAATGCTCCCTCGGGAGAGAACTTTGAGGAGTGCCTTGGTATAATAAACAAGAGTAAGAAAGTGAATGCTGTGGGAATAAATTGTGCACCACCCCATTTCATAGAAAGCCTCATCTGCAGGTTTAAGCAGGTAAGCACCAAACAGACAAAAACTACTCACTCTTTTCCTATTATGCATTGTTTATCTAACATTGTTACATGATCACGGCATTGAACTGCAATTTTCTCTCTTTCCCAGTTAACTGAAAAGGCCATAGTTGTTTATCCCAATAGTGGGGAGGTATGGGATGGAAGAGCTAAGAGATGGCTGGTGAGTGAAAGAATGAACCACCTAATATCACTTTGTGAATTAAGCTGACTAATCACTGGAATGCATGCAACACCTAGAAGTAAAATTATTCTCTTGTTATCTTTCTTAGAGGCTCACTACGAGTTGAAAATTTTCTCATATCCACAGTCCACCAACAGAGCAAGGTGGGGTTGGTGGGGGAAATACCGAAATACTAATACCTATAAAAAATACTAAGAGCAATTTCAAGAGCTTAATTAGTTAATTAATCTGATTTTTCCACTCGCTGTGATTTAAATGTATTGGTATATTCATTAGTAAATTATTTACATATTGTGAATTGGATTGACAGCCTTCGAAGTGCTTTGACGACAACAAATTTGAACTATTTGCAACAAGATGGCGTGATTCAGGAGCCAAACTCATTGGAGGATGTTGTCGAACCACACCTTCCACCATTGGAGCAATCTCACGGGCTCTTAAAAGAAGTTTCTGAGTTAACATTCCCACTTTATTAATAAAAGGAAGTTCCCTATTTACTTATTTTCTTTGCCGTAGGAAAAAAATAAGTTTTTTAGTTATTACTAATTGATTCATATTTTTTGACATTGGATATGAGTGACACTGAATGGAACAAAATGGCAAAACAGGATTCAGATAGTTGGGACAAGGCTTAGATGATGATGAGTTATTATCAATTCATGAGTTGTTTTCGTTATTAAGTTTCTACTGGACCTTAAAAACGAGCAATGCTTTTGTATTTTTCGGCATTAATGCACTTGCAAGAACCAATTTTCCAATATTGTAACTGTATGTAGAAAAAAGGTTGGTAAGGTATTAACTACTAAGGTGATGTCTAATCGCTTTCAAAGTATGTGTTTGGTTTCATGCGCATTTATGGATAAGTTGTTTATTTGTACTTTTTTACTTTAAACTTTTTTTGTTTTTGTTGTTTGATTGGACTTTACTTTAAACGTTTTTTACTCTTCACCTCACATTAATACTCATTAAAGTGTGTCACATCAGCATAAATAGGAATTTAATGATTCTTCAAATGTCCCCGTGCACAAAAATCAAAACATTTCAATTTTTACTATTTATCTAATAAATGGTAAAATCAAACAGTTGTTTTATTTTGTGCAATAAATGTCAATGCCTATGTGACACTGATTTAATAGTATTTTTTCATTAAACGCCTATAAAACCAAATACAGCCTAAGAGTCTTCTGATACGGTGATACCTGGGTGATTCTGGTTCGGCCTTGGGCAATGGCATGGCTAATTAAAATTTATTTATAATGCGAGATCCTAACTCAAAGGCCGAGAACTGAGTTTACTGACATCAGAGAAAAAAATAAGGTGGAAGGCCCTAAAAAGGTTTTGTTTTCCACCGCTTTCATATCAAAATGCATCTCCAACTCCAACAATGCTACCCTACAATTTTTACAAAAAATAGCCTCTCTTTGATTTTCTCCTGTATAATAATATTTGTTTTTCTTGGAAATAAAATAAATGTATGTTTTGAAGAATTTCAACTGCATCGGGCCCCGGAGCTGAGCATCATTGACCCTTAAAAAATGTGGGTTCTCCAAAAAACGAAAACAAAAAAAAGACCACCAAGATAAGAGACAAGTTGACTAATGCCTTTTCTACGTGTTGGATTATCAAAAGGAAAAATCTGCTCCCCCAATATAGAAAGACATGATACCGGAATGACAGACCAATTACAAGTTTTTCGGGTATCATAGTCAAACCCATACCAAAATCCTCACCAGAGAGAGTTCTGTCTCGGGGATTGAAACTAGTAAACTTAATTAAGGGTGTGTTTATCTATAAAAAAGAAAAGTGTGTTGGCCAATAAAACTTTTACTGTACACATTCTCATAGCCCTTGTATTATGGTTTAGTTTTAATACTAAAACAGATTCTCTTAACTAGTATACCAGCAAACGTTGCAAAAACCGGTTGCCCCATATGGGAATAATTTTACCCCTGATAAGGGACCATAAGGTCACAGCCCTCCCTTGTATAGCCTTACCTTTCCTGAATTTCATGTTTCAAAAAAAATTAATAAAGAAATGGCTAATAGACTGTAACCGTAAGGCGCATTGCAATAAACAATTTCTATATAAATATATTAAGCTGAAATGTGTATTTAAGAAGGTCTGAGGATGAGGGAAATGGAATCTAACAGTATTTTTTGTATTTTTTTTTTAAAATTATAAGAATGCCACTCTCTCCTATCAATTCTCTCTTTTTTGCTTTTTTCTTTCAAATTACAATAATGCTACTCTCTCCTACTAACTCTCTTTTTCTTGCAAATTACAAGAATGCCATCTCTATCTCTCTCTCCCCTTATAAATTACAAGAATGCCACTCTCTCTCTCCAATTGAGGGGAACCTCAACTCGACATCTTGACTGCTAGGGGACCTGCAATCAATGATAGTCGAGTTCGATCCAAGCTGAGCTCGAACTTTTGAGCTCAAGCTCAAGTCTCTAATTCGAATCGAGCTCGAGCTAGATGACACCTCAACCACTGAGGGAGACCTCAGTTCGGCACCTCGGTCACTAAGGGAGATCTCGACTCAGCACCTCCACAACTAAGGGAGACCTCAACTTGACACCTTATCAACTAAGGGAGACCTTAGCTCGACACCGGGAAACCTCAGCTTGACACATCAGCAACTGAGGGAGACCTTGATTTGGCACCTCGAAATTTGAGGGAGACCTTGGCTCGGCACCTCAGCTGCTTGAGAGACCTGCAATCAAAGGTAGTCGAGCTCGAACTTTCGAGCTTTTGACTCGAGCTCAAGTCTCTAATTCGAATCGAGCTCAAGCCTGATAGTTTATGAGCGAGCCCCTACAACGCAGGGCCCCCTCCGCTAATAAATATATTAAGCTGAAATGTGTATGTAATGGCTTGAGGATGAGAGAAATGGAATCTAACAGTATTTTTTGCCTTTTTTCATAGAAATTACAAGAATTCCACTCTATCAATTCTCTCTTTTGCTTTTTTTCTTTCAAATTACAAGAATGCCACTCTCTCCTACCAACTCTCTTGCTTTTTTTTCTTTCAAATTGCAAGCATGCCACTCTCTCTCCAACCAACTCTCTCACTTTTTCTTACAAATTACAAGAATGCCATCGCTCTCTCCTGCCATCTCTAGGGATGGCAATTTCCCTGTAAAATCGGGGCCCCACCCCACCCCGAACGGGGCAGGTTTTCCCCAACCCTAAATAGGGACAAGGCAAGAATGCCACTCTCTACCAATTCTCTCTCTTTTGCTTTTTTTCTTTCAAATTACAAGAATGCCATTCTCTCCTACCAACTCTCTCTCTCTCTCTTGCTTTTTTTTTCAAATTACAAGAATGCCACTTTCTCTCCTACCAACTCTCTTTCTTTTTTACAATTTCAAGAATGCCATCTCTCTCTCCTACCATCTCTAAGGATGGCAATTTCCCCCGTAAAACTGGGCCCCGCCCCACCCTGAATGGGGCAGGTTTTCCCCAACCCTAAATAGAGACAGAGTGGGGACGGGAAAAATATTTTTTCTCCAAATCGGGGACGAGGCAGGGACAAGTTTTGTATATAATTCCCCGAACCCGCCCTAAACCCAAAGCTAAATTAGTAAATATCTCTAGGTTCAATATTGATATTTAAAATATCTCTAAGTTTTTCCCTAAATTCTTAAAATCTTAGGATCCTATAATTCTATTTTTGAATTACCCCTAAAATATTATAATTCAATTCCTAAAATACCCCCAAATTTCTATATCCTATGTTTAAATTGTCCATAAAATAGATAATTTTTAAGTAGTTGCCTTGGAGCGGGGAAAATTCAGGGATTCCCCATACCCGACAGGGAGTAAATGCCCCACCCTAAACCTACCCTGTTGCCATTCCTAGCCATCTCTCTCTTTCTCCTTATAAATTGCAAGAATGTCACTCTCTCTCCAATTGAGGAGACCTTAAGTTGGCATCTCGACTGCTAGGGGACCTGCAACCAAAGTTAGTCAAGTTCGAGCTGAGCCAAGCTCAAACTTCTGAGCTCAAGCTCATGTCTCTAATTCAAATCGAGCTCGAGCTAGATGACACTTCGACCACTGAGGGAGACCTCGGCTTGGCACCTCAGTAACTGAGGGAGATCTCAGCTCAACACTTCGACAACTGAGGGAGACCTCAACCCAACACCTTGTCAACTAAGGAAGACCTTAGCTCGACACCTCGCCTGCTAGGGAAACCCCAACTCGACACTTCAGCAACTGAGGGAGACCTCGGTTTGGCACCTCGGAAATTGAGAGAGACCTCGGCTCAGAACCTTGGTTGCTTGAGAGACCTACAATCAAAAGTAACTGAGCTCGAACTTCCGAGCCTTTGACTCGAGTCGAGCTTGAGCTCAAACTCAAGTCTCTAATTCGAATCGAGCTCGAGCTTGATAGTTTATGAGTGAACCCCTGCAACGCAAGGCCTCCTCTGCTAATTTATAGTTATTTGAATTACAATTTTATCCGTTATTTATTTATTTTTTTTTTGACAATGACAAAAGAGCTATTCGTTAGATCATACTATTCTTTGACCATCCAACATTAAAGAAATTTGCATAAGCTTTGCAGATCTTTATCCAACATTTGATGTTCCAAATTTAAACCATAAAAGCAAAACTTTATATTTAATAATAAGGGAAAATCTATGATGCAGAAAAAATATGATATGGGAAAAGTTTTGACCAATCAAAACCCACCTATGAATTTTGATAAATAACACCTGATTGGCTACCACGTTTATGATTTCAGTTGATTGGTAAGAAGTTTTTCAGATATCATATCTTTTCCATATCATAGTGGAAATAACAGGATATGCTGATTCTTCATGGGCTCCCCACAAAACGCCCCACAGCCCATCCCCCATGCATGCTTGTCATGGGAAGATATTCCCAAATCGCGGTGGGGATGGGCTGTGGGGCTCGCTTTGTGCAGAGCCCATCCCGTCTCTGATTCTTCATTCTTGAGTCTTGACGATGGTGATCTAAGGCAGACATGGAATCCATTCATTTTACTTTACCCCCAAAAAACTAATAATCTTGTTTAAGGTCAAGGTGACAATCAATAGTCTTTTATTTTAGTTGTTTAAATGAATCCATTCATGATAAAACAATAGCTTTTCATTTACTTTTTAGATTCTTGCACACTACCAAAAGTTCCCAATTCGATCTTCATTAGACCTGTTCATGGGCCGGGTGGCCCGACGGGCCGGCCCGGCCCGGCCTGACCCCCAGACGGGCTTGAACAGGCTTTTTGGCCCGCGGGCTTAACCTCAGGCCAAAAAGCCCGGCCCGCATAAAATTCGAGCCGGGCTTGGGCTTTGCCAAAATAGCCCGACCCGGCCCGACCTATAGTTAAACCTAAGTAAAAACCCTATGTGATGTCCATTTGAATAAATTTTTTTATTTGAGAATGTTGTTGATTCACTTGTAGGCCCATTGTTCATTTAAATAGGGGAAAAAAACATCTAAATTAAAATAGAAAAATGTCCATTTGAATAGGAAAAAATTCGAATTTCTTTTATTAGGTCGGGCTTCGGGCTCAGGCTCGGGCTTCGGGCTTTTTATCAGGGTCGGGCCTAACATTTTTCTGTTAATAAAGAGTCAAAGCCCGGCCCGGCCCATGAACAGGTCTAGTCTTTATGTACAGACATTCAATTATTAATTTAATGTTTTTTTATCCTCAGTTGACAAAAAAAATAATAAAAAAGCACAAACACAATCTCTCTCTCTCTCTCTCTCTCTCTCTCTCTCTCTCTCTCTGTATATATATATATATATATATATATATATTTAGATGGCCCATGCCACATTGCTTCTCCTTGCTCCATTATCCAACCCTGCATTCTCTTTGATTCTCTCTCTCCTCTCCCCCTTCCCACCACTCCCAATTTGCCATCTCAGCACCCTCCCTCTTCATTCCTCTCCCTTCCCATTGGGTTCTCTGTCTCCCCCACAATTCACGTCTCTTACTTTCTATAACAACCCAACTTCTCTCCTTAATTAGCTTAATATATGTTCTATCCTCTCCTTCACTTCTATCACTAATTCCCCTCTATTCTCTCCACTTGCCCATAAAAATAGGGCCATAATTTATTAAGATTTGGTTTTCCAAACCAAACAATATTTATCTCTATAGACATGATTCCAAGCAAATTAAAGAGAGGGGAATTTGATGTTTCCTATATATTCATGGGCCTCGTGGCATCTTCCATTATTGTTAAATAATCTAATCTTAAATAATAATCTATTATTAAATAATCCATTAGTTATGAAAATTATTAAACATTTCTGGAAAATATTCTACCAAAAATTATGAAATAATTATTTCAGAAATAATGCATTATTTAACAAATATTAAATACTTTAATATTCTACCAAAAAATAATAAACAATCCATTATTTAATAATTTTTGGTTATTAATATATGTTCAAAATTTCAACATTTAGTGTAATTTACATTAATCATTGTAATTTAATAAATTTTCATTGAATCCTTACAATAATAATTTATTGATAAAAGATATTACTAATTAGCATTATTTACTAATTTCTATAAAATTATTAATTATAATTAACAATTATTAAATAATTAAGGGAAACTCTTTAACTAATAGTCCATAATTATTTTTAAATAATTAATTAAAATTAAGAAATTAATCTATGAAAAAAATGTTCTCGAAAACCATTTAAATAATAATCCATAATTATTATTCAACTAAATAATTATAAAAAAATTTAGGAAAACTAAATTAGGAAATTAATCTATTAGAAATTTGTTCATAATTATTTAAATAACAATACACTACTATTATTTCAATAAATAATTATTAAATAATTTGGGAAAATTATTAAATCTATCCACACCAATCTAGACCACTTGGTTGAGTTCAATCATACCTGGTTTTACATTAATTAACAACAAATGGTTTACTTTTAATTAAAAATAATGTAGTTTACCATAGTTAGATTAATTTACTTTGATTAATAGTAAATAATTTAGGCTTAAAAAGTAAATAATTTAAATTAATTTATTGTTATTGTAAATAATTAATTTGCTATATATTATTACTAATCAATTGCAATTTCAATAATTTTTTGAAAATTAACATAAAATATTGTTAATTAATTAGTTATAGAAAATTATTAAAATTGTAGGAATGGAAATTTTCCCTGTAAAACTGGGGCCCTATCCTATGCTGCCCCAAATGGGGCAAGTTTTCTTAAGTCATAAATGAGGACAAGGTAGAAACGGGTTGGGGACAGGGAAAATATTTTTACCCCAAATTAGGGATGGGGTTTGCATATAATTCTTTGAACCTCTTATGGTAAATTAGTAAAGTATCCATAGATTTAATATTGATTTTTAAAATATTTCTAAGGTTTCCTCGTATTCTTATAATCTTAGGATCTCATAATTTCATTTATAAATTACCCCCAAATTGTCATAATCTAATTCCTAAAATACCTCCAAATTCTCATAATCCTATTTGTAAAATATCCATAAATTAGATTTTTTTAGGTGGTTGCCTCAGTGTGGGGAAAATTTGGGGATTCCCCATCCCCGACAGGAATGGGTGCCTACCCAAAACTGTCCCACCACTAGGGTCAAGATGGAGATGGAGTAAAATGTCTTGATTTATGGGGGCAAGGGACAAGGAGGGTTGGCGTGCATCGCAGGGGTGCCCCATCATGTGCATCGCATGGGCCCCGCTAGTACATAAAAATACAATTACATATTCGCACTAAAAATATGCATGAACATAGGGAAGAAAAGGCACCATACTAAAGTTTTTTTGTGCCATCAAACAGGTGAGTGATTAGGCATGATTCCTACTCCCAAGTGTAAGCACCCAGAACTTTATGTCGATGTGGTGGATGCGAAGATAGTCGTTTCAACCATTTAATAGCCACACGATAAGAATATACCTAACTATGGGTTCACAATGTAGGTCTAGAACTAGAAGAGAGCAACACGTCCAAGTACCCTAATCTACGAAACCAAATTTTCCAAATCTAGGATAAACAACTCTCATCGAGTGAGATCCAGAGGCCCTAGGTTACATTTACATACTCTATAAGCACACTTTCTGGGATCAGTATTTGTTCTTAACCATTGGCTTTTGGGCATGCCACAAACAAGGCATTTTATCATTGTAATTGACAGACGATGACAGTGAAGAACTGATGACGTTGGGGATAGCTTTTAATCAGCCTTCAACTTGTCATAAGGAAACCAAAAGACACGTGGCAGGAACTAGGAAAGAAAGAACAATATGATTAGATAAAAGCGAAAGCAAAGTATCCGACTTCTCTTATATTCCTTGCTCACCCAAGAAAATTGCCGTCTTAACCAAACAAGAAACTAAAACTAAAAGTCTAAAACCAGTTCCCTCAATGTGAACCCAACCAGAACATATATACTCAAAAAAGATTTCAGCGTCGGGTAGAGCCGCGTGTATCATAAGGGCCCCATGCTCCACCATAAGTATCACCATATGCACCACCTGGGTATCCCAATTCGGAGCTTGTCTTCAACATTCCATAGCTCATGCCACCTACAAAAGTGTAAAAGATTCATACCTCTATTATAATAGATTTGCCATCTTCTTTTTATTTTAAGACAAGGAATGGTATCTTTAGGAAGTAAAAGTGCAAACAAGTAAAAATAAAGAAAAAATTACCAAGACCCCTTGCTCTCTTCTCTGCGTTCAGATGCTCCGCTCGGAGTTTCTCAATTTCACGAGCCATGGAAACAAGGTTCTTCTCCATTGCTTGCTTCTGTTCTACTTGCTCCTCATTTGCTTTCTTCTCATATTCAAAAGCCGTTCTACAAACATAGTCCATTATAAATTCAGCTACTAAGGAAAGCATCTGATATAAGGTGGTGGTGACAAGAATAGTATGTAATACCCTTTTCATAGTGTTTATGTCACCCTCCGCTTAAGAATAGCTTTGGATGTCTTAATCACTCGTCAACAGGGAAAGAAACTCGATTGTAACTAAAGTTGAAAGAATGACCAAATACAAACCTGGCTCTTACTAGCTCTTGACGTAAACCATCAATGTCAGCCCTCATGACATGTAGTTGCTTATTTTCAGCTTGCAGTTGAGCCAGATCCTTGGTGAAACCCTGAACCTGGGCAGTAAGATCCTGGCGCAAAGCATTCAGTTTCTGAGTCTCTTCTCTTAACTGCAGAACCTCCACCTTCAAAGGCTCAGCAGCACGGAGCTCAGATTCTAGCTTCAACCCTCTCTCAATAAGTTCCCTAGCTTGTGCCTCTTTGTCAGCACGAAGTTTGGGTATGACCTGGTTCAGTCTGTGAATCTCATCCTTTGCAGCAGTCAGCTCCCTCTGTAGAATAATATTATCATCAGCAACATGCTGGTTCTCGATAAGAAGTCTCCGAATATCTTCATGTTGGATTTCAAGTTCCTCCTCCAGAGCTGCAGGGTGAAGAGGCAGGGGACCAGGTCCTCGATTCAAAAGAGGCCGAGGGCCATCATGAAAGCCTCGGAAACCATCATTAACAGGATGACGAGGCATACGGTTTCTCCCTGCCATGCCTGAGATCCTGCACAAGGAATAACCATATCACCAATGCTGGATGGCAGTACTGCAATACAATCCAAGTGGGGCCATAAAAGGAAAGAGAAACGTGAATAATACTTAATAAAATTCAGCTGAGGACTGCCACTGCTCAGATTAGGCATCCATAAATGCAAGGCACTGAAAAATCCTAGCAAACCCATCTTGATCTCTAGACTGAATTGATTATCACAATAATGGAAATCTAACAGAAATAGAAGGAAGAAATTGCTTCCTATTTCCAAAGAACACCAAAATAGATTGCCCCAACATCCTTCCATTCAAAGCCCTCCATATAACCACATACCTTGTATTATAATCAAGAACAAAAAGCGATTTGTCATTCAGATCCCCATATCTGTAAAATTAGATATATGGACTCTACACAATAAAATTCCCACCAGCTTCTATTAATTCCCCATCTTAAATTAGGTTAACCATCATCTTGCATGAGATAATATCACATCTAGAAAGGTGGACAAGTCCTACTAAATATAGTAAAATGACAGAGAAAGAAAAAGGAAGAAAACATCTAAAGAAATAAAATACAATAATCGAAAGACAAAGAATCATAAATGGTTTTGCCAAGAAGAAAGCAAGACCACCATCCTTCCAGGCAATCAAAAACACCAGCCTGGTTAACATGACAATACAGGCCAAACCAATCTGGAAAGAAACCATATATTATTTCATCATGTTCAAAGCCCTTTTCTTCTGCCTGTTCTCTTAAAAAATATCTCCTACTAGCACCAAAACCAGTTTGATGATATTGTCACTGTAGAGACCATTAGAATGTTGGTGTATTTCAACATCCACAAGACATGATACAGTGCAACAGGTTCTCCAGAAGCTTAAAGTCCATAAAATCCCGAGTCCTCTCAAAATGACTCCAGTAGAAAAAAAAAATCAAAGCAAAATAACAACTTCTGCTAGGTAATTCTTAAAACCATTTCAGCTTCTGATTTCTGAACCAGTCTGTTGCAACTTAAAAGCATTTTTCAGCAGTTTAGAACGTGTCTCCATCTATTTCTGCTCATCTTTCTCATAATTCTCGAGGTAAGGCACGCAAATCCAGTACTTGGTTTTACCCTGATTGGGACTTTTGCATCACAAGTTTTGGTAGGTCACATCTTGATCTACAAACTCCAAGAAAAGCTTCTCAACTCTTCCATAACAAACTTTCATCAGAATATTTACTGATTTACATTTTCTTCACAACATTTGCTTTTCCCTGCCCCTTTTCTACCTTTTCGCCTTGCAACTGGTGACAACCACCTAACCCATTACAATATTTGTAATTTACATCTTCGCCCAAAATAAATTTTCCCTGTTTACCACTTGCTTGACAATCAGCCAATTTGTTTGCAAATCTTCTTACCCAACTAAAATTTGAATTACTTTCCTTTTTCTACCTTTTCCCTGGCAAACAATGGTTTTCAAGCATGTTTCTGATCCGCCTCTACTATTTGGCAATCATGTTCCCTTGTTTGTCCTCCTATTCTTGAGTCACACTGTCAGTATATTCCCCTATACTATCTTTGATCTTGCTATGTTTGTATTGAAATTGCACTCTATCATTTGGTCTATATCTCTCAAGCTTGTCACTTCCTCGATCCAAGCATAAAAGGGGCATTTAATTAATATAAACTTCTTATACACCTTGCCAAATTCCACAGTATCATCTTAAGACAGATGATGTATAAATATACATAGCCAATTGACAGATGTACCTAGGTCATATGATGCTCTAGATTCCAAGAGCTACTTTTCCTTTTTCTTCTTTGTTTCTTTATTTTCCCTTTTCTGGTACACCAATGAATGTGCAGAGTGGATTCTTGAGTTGAAATTCATCATCAGGATCAAATAATGGTAAAGCATTCCAGCAAGTAAAACTGAAAGCAAGGTGCAAGTTTAGGCCTACCCAGAATAAGTTATCTTTGTAAAATGGAAGAAAGAAACAGATCAAATGACCTAAGGTCAATGTCTTTTTTTTTTGGAAAAAGGCAATGTATTGTATTAAAATTATCAAAATAAACCAAGATATACAATCAGCCCAGCAACCTCTGTACAATGAGAATCTGTACTAGGGAAAACCCAACAGATCCAAATACAAATAGCCCAAACCAACAAAGTTTATATACTTAAGACAAAAAGGTGATTCCAATCAATAAAGAACTTCTGTGTCTGGATTTGAACAGAGTGATTTGCCAACCACGAAAAAAAATGACATTGAAAACCTCCTCTTTTGAATTCTGTCTCCCCTCGAAAATTTTGTTATTTCTTTCGCACCAAACTGCTGCCGGTCTTACTTAACCCCCTTAGCCACCAAGCACTTATGAGACCCTTCACATTGGCTGGAAAACACAACTTAACCGCAAAATTTTCCAATATTTTTCCAAAAATCCAGAGTTCCAGAAAACAAATTCACAATGAATCAGTAGATGGCTTGTGGTCTCCACACTTCTATTGCACAAAATACGCCTCCACCACCTCTATACCTCTTCTGACTAAGTTTTCTCTACTCAGAATTTTATCAAGGATTGAAAACCAGACAAAGAAAGCCAATTTAGACAGCACATTTCTGATCTAAATTCTATCACTTGCCAAGATGTGGAGGAAAAAATATACTGATACATTCCTGAATCACCAAAAGGGGATGAAAACCCCTTAAAAATTATCTCCTTTTCTAATAACAATTTGGTAGCAGGTGGCCATCCTACTCCTAGGTTACTTGGTACATTTTCCCTACATATAGAACAGGCACGGTTCAGCTCATCAAGGTTAGTAGGCTAATAGGATAACAGATGTGTTTCCTTTTCACCGGTTTCATAAAAGTAGGAATCAAGAATGAAACAAATAAAGAAAAGAAAAAACAACATTGCCACATGGTGTAAACATCAAATTTATTGGAAGCCAAGTTCCATAACAGCATTTCTGAAACCTAGGTTGCTAAAACCATGAATAATTAGAGGACTGGTATCTTTTAAGAAATTGGAGAAATGTAGCATGGTCTTCAACAGTGAAAAATACTGGTCTAGTGCCTTGGCAGCCGCTGGAGGCAAATCAGGTAAAGATTAACTTTGATAGATACGGTATTGGGAATCCAGGACTCTGATGAATAGTAGTACTTAGAGATGAGATGAGAACAATTCTACCCATATTTTCAGGACAGTGGGAGATGAAGACTCCTTGCTAGCTGAATTAATAGCTGTACTACAATGATTTTTTTTATAAATAATATCACATTTCATTAAGATCAAGAAAAAGATACAGTCCCTTGGAGAGGCACAAGATGCCGCCTCTCCAACACAGGAAACCCAAAAAATAAAACTATAAAACTATAACAAGGAGTACATGAGTGCTACTACAAGATTACAGTTTAACCCAGAACAATGTTTCCCTATTTGTCCCCTGTTTTGCCAAAATATCAGCAAGAGCGTTCGCCGATCTTCCCACCCATTGTACTGTAACACACATGTTTCTTGTCAGACATTTATACTTCTTTAGCTCATTCTTGTAAATCCATGCAACCTTCTCTGAATTATTTATGCACCCCACTACTATATTAGAGTCCCCCTCAATCAGCACCTTCTCCACACCCAATTCTTTTGCGAGAAGGACTCCTTGTATGGCGGCTAACAATTCTGCCCTAACAAAATTCCCAACTCCCAACGGGCCAGAGTAGAGAAGGATAACCTCTCCAGCCTCATTTCTTAAAACTCCTCCCAGCCCAGAGGGTCCTGGGTTGCCCTAGCTGCTCTCATCAAAATTCAGTTTCAGAAAACCTTGTGGAGGGGGGACTAGTTTGTAGAAACCCTGTCCTTTATGGAAGAGCAGCTTGCTACTGCTGTCCAGTTCCTCCATGGTTCATTAAAGGAGAAGGAATGAAATAGTTTCATAGATTTTAACCAATGTATTGCCCTGTTTAAAATGCAATCCTTCAATGCCTGGCTACTCCTTTCCTTCTCTTGGAATAATCTTGAATTCCTTTCTTCCCACACTATCCAGATCAACGCTGCTCTTGCACACCTTCACATTCTTTTTCCTCTTTTATGGGGCCATGAGAAGGTAGATGAATTGAACAGCAAACTTAAATCTATTGGCATCTCCCACCTACACCCAAATAGAGATAAAAGCCATCCCCAAAGCTCTGCAGTGACATCACAGGATAGAAATAAATGATAACTGTCCTCACCATGAGATCTGCAAAGGGTATACCAGTTAAGAGAGATACAAATAAAGGGTCTTCTCTTTTGTAGGTTATCCATGGTGTTTGACTTTCCCATGGCACACTTCCCAGGAAAAAGCCATTACCTTAGGGGGGACCGGCCTACACCAGACTTCTTTGGAAGGGAAAGCCTGTTGAGGGGAGGTATTACAAAATGACTTAAAAAAGCAACCACAGGAAAATAACCTTTTGGGGTGAGGGGCCCAAATCCTCTTGTCTGGCAAAGAAGGACCCAACTACACTTTTTCAAGGAGGCAAAGCAAATTAGCCAAACAAATAACTTCCTCATCCCTTAACCCTCGACGAAAACCCAAATCCCAAGACAAGGCCGATGGATTTAACAGAGAAGGAAGGAACTTTGAAATCGCCTCATTTTTAAACCAAGAAATAGAAAACAATGAAGGAAAAAGATCTTTAAGAGGGAGATCCCCAACCCAGGCATCTTCCCAAAAATGAACAAAAGTCTCGAAACAAGTATCGTACCTGACACAACTAAGAAACTTTGGGAGAATTTTGTGGGTTGCCTCCCAAGGCGCTGCCATGTTAGCCCTTCTTGATGCACCAGCATCCCATCCATTCTCTGAACATCCATGAATGCTCTTCACCACTTCATGCCAAATCCTCTCTCGCTCCAAAGGCCATCTCCATAACCACTTCCCTAGCAAAGCCAAATTCCTTTTAATCAAATTTCCTAAACCTAATCCCCCTTCCTCTTTGCTTCTACCCACAACCTCCCATCTGATCAAATGATCTTTTTTCCCCTCTCCTGGCTCCCAAAGGAAGTCTCTCATCAATTTCTCTAATTTCTTCACTTCCCTAGGTAGTATCCTAAAGATCGAGAGGTAACCTCTTCTCAAACTTCTCTATGGCTGGAGTCCAGAACCTACTCTCCCTAGGATTTGCCCCTAATGGAAGCCCTAAGTAGGACATAGGCCAACAGAAGTAGAGCATTCAAGGCAATTTGCAATAGCCTCAATCTCCTCATTCTCCAAATTAATCCCCGCTATGCAGCACTTTTCTAAGTTGATTTTCAAGTTGGAAATTTCTTCAAAGGTCTTAATCAACTCCTTTAAGTTTCCCACCTTCTCACTAAAGCCTCCATCACAACATACCATTAAATCATCTACAAACTGAAGATGGGTAACTGGAACTTGGTTTCTGCCTATTATCCAACCCCTTATGACCTCTTCCCTATCAGCCCTGGTGATAATTCGACTAAAAGCATCAGCTACCAAGGTAAAGAGAAAAGGTGAAAGGGGATCCCTTTGCCTAATGCCCCTACAGGCTAGAAAGAAGTCCCTAACCACTCCGTTTACTAGGATGGAAAAGTGACAATTACTAACACAACCCATCATCCAACTACACCACCTTTCCCTAAACCCACAATTCCTCATCGCCTCTAACAGAAACTGCCAATCCACCAGATAATAGGCTTTCTCTAGGTCCAGCTTGCAAACAAAACCTCTTTTCCTAGAACTCTTCATTTCCTCCACGCACTCATTTACAATCAAGATCTGATCAATTATCTGACATCCTTGAATGAAGGCCCCTTGGGCTTGACTAATGATGGACGGGAGGGCTTCTTTAATCCTCAAAGAAAGAACCTTGGTCCAATGTTTTAAAAGCGCAAGATGCAAGGGTCAATTTGCACCTAAGGCGCAAGGCGAGGCGCATGGCTTTTTAAGCAAGGCGCAAAAAATAAAAAAAGTCAAAAAATTATTAGACATAATATTAATAAAAATATAAACCTTAATTTTAAAATAAATGTTTTATAAAACATATTATCTAATATTAAAATACATAAATATAACATGTAGAGCATATCCAATGAGAATTTAAAAATAAAATCAAATATATAAAACATTTTCAAGCATATAAAACCCACAATCTCTTTTTTTTCTCAACTGCATTACTTCAAGTAGCTAATGTGATGTAAAACATATTACATTCCTGATTCTACGAGCCGCCTTTGTACCATGCCGCTCGAGGCAAGCCCAAACAAGTCCATGTTAGGTCTTAAATTCTTAGTTCTCACACAAAAAAATAATGATTTATAGTTTTAATTGCTTTTTAAGAAGATATTTTATTAGGATAAATGAATGAATAAACAACATTACCAAATAGGGGGTTCATGAAGCTTCGGTGACGAGCGAACTAGAGTGGAGTAGAACCCCCTATTTGGTAATGTTGCTCATTCATTCATCTTAATAAAATATCTTCTTAAAAAGCAAAAAAACTATAAAACCGTTATTTTTTGTGTGAGAACTAAGAATTTAAGACCTAGCATGGACTTGTTTGGGCTTGCCTCGAGGGGAGTGGAATACGGATCCGGGGACGGAGCACCCGACCCAGCCGCTAGACACAAAAAAAAAGCGTTGAAGTTTCAAAAGGCGCAGGCCTGGGCTGAGGTGTAAGGTGCACTAGGCATACACCTTTTGAAAGGGCTACGCCTAGGACCTAGGTGAGGCGCCTACCCTGAAATGCATCTCGCCTGTGCGCCTAGGCACGCCTGAGGCATGCCTTTTAAATCACTAACTTGGTCACTATCTTAATAGATACTTGTCACCAAACTAATTGGCCTAAAGTCCTTGGGATGGATAGCATCAGATTTCTTCAGGATTAAAGCCAAAAAAGTAGCATTAATACCTCGACTAACTACATGCTTCTCTACAAAGTCCTTAAACACATCATAGAGATCATCTTTTATCACCTCCCAACAGTCTTGGTAGAATGCCATTGAAAAACCATCTGGGCCTGGAGCTTTCGATCCATCCATTGAGAACACTGCCTTTTTAATCTCTTCTTCCTCAAAGTTCCTTTCCAACCACCTAATCCTCTCCTCATCCAATCTTGGCCACTCTACCCCTTCCATTTAAAGCCTCTCATTCAAGGGTCGCCTATAAATCGATTTAAAGTGGTCCGCAAACAACTTGCCAATATCTTCCTAGTTAGAGACCACCTCCCCTCCTATCTCTAGCTTCGACACAAAATTCTTCCTCCTCCTCCCATTTGTCACATTGCGAAAATATTTAGTGTTTCCATCACCTTCCTTAATCCACCTATACCTTGATTTTTACCTCCAACTTATTTCTTCTCTTAGCAGTACCTCTTCCAATTCTTTCATCAAATCTCTATCATTCTCATCTAACTCCATTTGGTAGTATTTCTCATCCAACTCCCTATTCCACTCTCTTACTTTGGACCTTAACATCGGTAGTTTCATGTGAAATCTTACCCCTTTCCAGTTTACTCCCCCCAATTCCTCATTCCACCAAGTTTTTACTTGGTTCACAAAATCCGGATGGGTGAGCCACATATTCTCAAACCTAAACGGTCTGGGTCCACTCATAAAATTCTCCAACCCTAATCTTATGGAACAATGACCCGAGGTTACCCTAGGCAAAGCTCTAGACACTAGGTTCCCCCAGTAATTCTCCCAAGCTAGTTTGGAGATGAATCTATCCAACTTTGATCACAAAGGGGTTTCCTGTAGGTACCATGTGAATCTGGCTTGTAGTAGTGGAATTTCCTGCAAATCGCAATCCACAATAAAGCTATTAAACTTCCTCATGCTAGTCATGATGGATTGTTGAAGTCCCCTCCCAAACACTAAGGTCCTTCCCACAAACCCTGAATTGCATATAACTCATCCCACATGTCATTCCTTTCCCTATAGGTATTGGGACCATAGGTATTAGTTAATACCCAAGTGAAGCCATCTGCCACATTCTTGAATTTAATGGATACTAAGAGTCTACCTATCAGCTCCTCCACTGCTTCTACTACATCCTCTTTCCATAGTGTAACAATCCCTCCTAAAGATCCCCAAGAAGGGGTTGAACTCCATCTGACTCCTCTAGATCTCCATACACTCCTCACCCACCTTACATCCAATTCTAGCAATTTTGTTTCTTGTAAAAGTATAATGTCAAGCTTTTCTCTCTTCAACATATCCTTAATCACCCTCCTTTTCCTTGCACTCCCTAGTCCTCTCACATTCCAACTAACTAATCGCATAGACACAGATCTTAAGAAAGCCCTCAACCAATTAATGACCCCTACTCCTTACTTCACCCCCTTCCTCCTATCTCCCCTACCACTAAACTCTAAATCCCCTTCAATATCACAAATTAATCTTTCCACCTAAGATCTTTTTTTCCTTTTCACTCTTTTGGTTTCTTCCCCCTTCTCATTGTTCATATTCACCTCTTCAGCCTTTGCACACAACTGACCCCGCTCATCGGTGGGACTCTCATTCAAAGTCTGAATCCCTCCTGTATCAAGGTCAAAGTGACCTCCCTTACCACCATCCTTCGCCCTCTCACTGTACCCTTCCACATATGACATAACCTTCCAATTGACTGAGTTCCTCAAACTCTGCACAAATCAGACTCTATATTTTATCGCCCCCCTCCCCTCACTGCAACCTTCTCCAACTCCTTATGTTTTACCACTTAGATTGGATGTTGGTACACCTGTTCCAGGCATAACACACCGATTAGTACCCAAAAATAAATTGGCATTCATACCTGAGTGGGGAAGGAGAGAACAGGGACCACTTGGGCTAGACTGTTGGCCAACTGCAACCGACTTTGGTGTCGGTCCCCTACAAGGAAACTCCTGCAATGTGGACATGGTAGTACAAACACCATCATCTTGCCTACACTCTTGTAAACCCAAAATCTGTTCTTCCCTTCCTGGAAAACCCCTATCCATACTCAAAAGAGAGGTCTGTTCTTCTGCATTTATATCCTGTAGGCCCTAGGATTTTGGGTTAACTTTCTTGTCATTGGGGTGTGAGGTTTGTTTAGCATTGTCCGCATCAGTTCATACTTTCGTGGAGAAACCAGAAACAGCCCCTTCATCTTCAAGAAATAAAGTTTCCGTACTCAAACTTCCTATCTCTACCAAGTTTTCCTTCGCTTGCAGATCTATGCTGCCCAAACTCAAGGTTTCATCTAAGTCATACGAGTCATATTCATCACTACTATCTACTTGTGCAGCCCACTCTCCATTTTCTAACTTCTCCATGTCGCTGTGCTTAATACACCTTGGATTTCGTCTCTCAGGGGTCAGGCGATTAACCATTCTTGTTGGGATCCACTGAAGAGAGCTGCTAGATTTCATGCTAATTTCCACAGTTCGGGGCTGAGAGTTAGAGCTCGAGGAAGAAGATGATAGACTATTAGAGGCATCTATCAACTTCTCACACCCTAGGTCACGTGATGTTTTAAGTTAACATGTGCCTTTAAAGTTTTAATAGGTTTGGTTGTGAACTCGGTGCTTGGCCCATCCAAACCAACCTCCCCATTAACCCTCGGCCCAGGTAAGAGAGAACAGCCTACTGGCCCAGTGCCTCTACACGTGCCATCCGATCCCACGTACCTCCTTAATCCGCCCTCTTTGCTAACAACTGCCTCCTGTTTACTCCCCTCACCAGTATTAACCCCTATCATGGCATTATTCCAGCCCACCACCTGTGCATAGGTTCTGCTACATGTCAGGGGGGTTTCTTGTATTTCAAGCCTTTGACCTTCCATCTTCCCCACACCTTGTTGGCTCCCCAGTAATTGTTGGCCCAATTTTGGTATAATTTCCAATCGATTTTGAATCTCCCAATCTCCTTGTTCCACGTACAGCTTCTTCTTCAACCCTTTCCCCTCCCTCCATTCTAGCCTCTTTCCACAAGCTTTGCTTCAATGGAGTAGGCCAGCCAGACTAAAACAAAGGCTTCTTCCACCCTTACTTGCACCTTCCTTGGAATATCTTCAAGCTTCACTCCGTTTAGAAGAATGGCCGCAGAATGGAGATCTCCCCAATAAGCACCTTCGAGTCTCCCTCCACACATCAGTGCAATGGATTCTGCTACTTCTTGCCTCCAAAGATGAAAAGGCAGCCCTATTATACGCACTAGTATCCCATCTTCAACAGAGTAATCCTTAGAGTTAGAGAGAGGATTCCATCTGAAGATTGTATAAGCACCTAACTCAATCTGGAAATTCACAGCCAAGATCTACTTTGTTCTCTCGAAAGTCCACTAAAGCTTTACATTTGTCAAATGGGGTTATAATGAACTCCTTTTTCAGTCTTAGATTCAAGGTCAAAAGATCTGCAACTTTCCTCCAATCCGTGACCCGCATCCCTGCTTGGATTATAAACTTACTTTCCCATTCTTCCTTCTTCGAATAATCCAACAGTCTACAATGTCCATTGGCTTTCGCTATAACCACAGGCTCCTGTTCCAAGTTTCCAGACAATGTAGTCCCCTAGCTTGCCACCTCCTCCCTTATTGGACTCTTCTCTGTAGCAGTGTAGTTGTACCTCCACTGCACAAAAACTCCTCAAGTAACCTGCTAACACCCTTCCATCCTTGACTCTGTCTTCCTGCCGAGAAGCATACCATCTATTTCTTTCCTTTGCCAAAGAACTAAACCAGAGTTATATAACATCCCTTAGTGTTCTTCCTGCTTTCGACTATATAAGTCTTACCTTCCTTGGTTCCAACCTCTTGTCTGTTGCTTTGCTTGCCTTTCAATCTTGCTTTTTCCACAAAACTCCTAAGCCATTCCACTACTTCTACCCCAGTCACCAGAATCATAGCCCTTCTCCCTTCCCTTGTCTTTAGGCTCATCTTACTTCGGACTCCAACTTCCTCAAAGCTTTTCCACCTTCAGATTTCTTCTCCACCACCCTACCTCCACGAACCTATCCTCCATTAGCAGTACTACAATGATTAAGGTTAGGAAAAATGTTAAATTACAGGAATTTGATGGTGGAGGAGGACTCAGAGGTGGTGATAAGTTAATTGAAGCACAAGCAAGGACCTTGGCAATAAAATTATGAAGGAAATAAAAATGGCTAACAAGGGAGACACAAATCGCATGTTGGAATTACAGATCAGAAAATGGGTTGACTGATATGATGACTAAATAAGGAGCAACTCGGGACCAATTATTTTGGGGACAAATGTAATGAATGGAAAATGAAAATGGCTCAGGTGGCTAGATTCCGAACAAGTTGGGGTTCCCTTTGGGGCAAACTATGTACATATTCTTACAAATCAAAGAAAAACTATGTACATATTCTTACAAACTTTCACTTGGATCTCCTAGACAGAGATCCAAGTGAAAGTTCTTTTTCCAAGAGTCATTAGGTTGAAATCAGATATTCTGCAGTTTGAACATACTATTATAAATTTAACAAATTCAGTAGCTCCTTGTGTTTATCAAGAGGACTTCCATAACTAAAGATCATTAACCAGACATGCACCAAGATACTAAAATGTGAAGCCATCAGCCTTAAAAAGTAAAGAATAAGCCTCATAAGCATGCATTTTTTTAGTATACTTTAATCATATAAAATGAACTGTAACTAGTATAAATTGTCTCATTAACTTTAACAATACAAATAAATAATGGACCCCATCTAAGATGGACTTCAGCTCCTCAATCATATGCCTGCCATCCGATTAATAGATTTTTTTTAATTGGATTATTTGCTTTATAGTTCTGCCCATCCAAAAAAGAAAGGTCCAAATTTCATCAGTGGTTAAGTTCAACTTAATGCCTATTTTCACCAGAAAAACCCGCAAACAAAAAAATTAAACTTGGTTTCTTTGGGATACATAGACCTCGTATTTTAGAACCGCATATTACAAATTTAAAGAAGAACCAAGGACATCCTAAAGTCCTAAAGGTGATGTTTATATAAATAAAAATAATATTTCATAAATTATAATAAGTGGTAAGAAGTATCTAAGCCAAAATAAAGGCAGGGAAGACAAAAATTTGGTAAAGAACAATACAAGTAAGAACCTCCCCCCCCCACACACACACACAAAAAAAAAGGAAAAAGAAAAACAGCCATCCTCCCAAAAATTTTGGGGTTTTTTCAAGCCTATCATTTCAGGGATCTCCTTAGTTGTTTTAATAGAGCAAGTAGAACATTAAATTGATTGTCAAAAACTTCCTCTCTTCTTTGAGTAAAAGGGATTTCTTCAAATGTTTCTAGCACAATAGCAAGTAGGGGCAAAAATGGATCGGATCATGATCCAACCTGATCCGAGATCCAATCCTATTTGGTCAAATTTGGATCACCCATGTTCGAATCTTCGAATCGGATTCAGATCGCCCCTTATCTGATCTGGGAAGATCCGATCCTATATATATTATATATTTATAAATATATAAAACACATATATAACATATGTTATTTATTTATTCATAAATATATTTTTATAAATTTGTTATATTATTTATTTTTTATAAAAATCATGTATATATATGACGAAAATAATTAAAAAATACTTGTATTTTTTGTTTTTACTTTATTTAAATTAGTATATTTTATTTTTCTTTTAATAATTTGTTAATTTTTAAAGAAAACAAGTCGGATCAGATCAGATCCGAAGATCCGACTTACCAATAGGATTCGAATTCAAATAGAGTCCTATCAGATCCGATCGGATCGGATCGGATCTGACATGAACAATGTCGGATCATAATCGAATATACACTGATTCAAATCCGACCCGATCCGTTTGCATCCCTAATAGCAAGAAGCCAGAATTCCCACCCTTGAATTATATATTTTTCAATGCCTCAAGTAATGAAACATATTAAACTATCATAACAGTTGTCAAGGCGACACATAGGTGGGTGCCCAAGGTGCCCTTGGAGACTCGCCTCGCCTAATCACCAAGCAGTTTTGTACATTGTGTTATAAAATATTTTTATATTCTTAAGTTTTTTACATTATAATTATAAAATATACATTATTAAACTAAAATATTCATTTTGTGTGTTTATACTTATTTCCTTTTATTATTTTCTTATTTATTAGGGTTTAATCAACACAAACATTGCTAAATGCTGTATTGAACCCTCAAAGACTTCAAAACCTGAACCAATAAGGAAGAAAATAAAATTTTGTCTAATCAACAGATTTTCTTCTTCTTCCACCTTTTCTTTTCTTCTTTTCCTATAACAAAAATAGGTGTTTAGCCTAGGATATATGTTTTTTACTTAAATAAAATCCATCGCCTAGGCAACTAGGTGACAAGGGCATTGGGGAGCACCTCAACATATAATCCTGAAGTGCATTCCTGAAACCTAATTTTAATTCCTAATTAACACTAAGTCCTTATCAAAAATTAGTTCAGGTTTTACATAGTTCATCTGTATTGAACATAGGATTCCTTTGCAATATAACATCCCCATAACCCAGACCAAAGCAACCAAATTTTTGGGTCTAAGATCATGCACTTCCAACAGATAGAGAGCTTTCAAAGTTAAATAACATTTGACAGAAATTGGTAACAGTGTAGCATGACGTCTGACTGATCTGAGAGTTAACAACATTGATGGTAGGGGCTCTTGCAGATACCAGAAGAGGAGAAATTTATAGCACATAAAAAGAATGAATTCCTTAGCTTCTGTTTTCCAATCTGAAACTAAAGGAAGAAAAGTAGAAAGACTAGCCATCATCTATCTAATGTGTCCAATGAAATCTTTTTTTTTTTTTTTTTTGCATCAAGAACATGCAAATGAGAAAAACCATCAAAATCTTTTTGATTATATAATGATAAAATTCATACCAAGAAGGATTAAAGTAATCTTCTTTTCATATAATAAAATGTTTTATTTACGTAAAATTAAAAAAAAAAAAAAAAGGAAAGCCAATAAGAGATACAAATGAGGGAATTGTTCTCTTGAGGATCACGTTTTAATTTTTTTTCCGGATAACAGTCTAAGAGGCTTTATATTAACAAATAATTAAGCATGAACAAGTTTTACAACTTAAATGGATCACGTTTTAATTTTTATTCTTTCGATAAAAGTCTAAGAGGCTTTATATTAACAAATAATTAGGTATGAACAAGTTTTACAACTTAAATAGCAGCTCAGTGCCACTATTCTCAAACTCAATAAGAAAATGAGAACTTAGAAGTGACTTCAAAGGAAAATTAGTAAAAGAATTCGTATTAAATGATAACTATGCAGATAATTACGGTCTTTCTACGCTTACAACCTTTCGAACATCATAGTCAATACCACCAAAACAACAGAAACCTAAAAATAATTCATTTGAGCTAAACCACTTGCTGCCAACTGATAACATGATATGAGAGGAAACCAGGCCATGAGATTCAGAGATTAATTGAAGGGAATCAACAAAAGAAAGCAATAAACACCGAACAAAATAGGCTGAAAACATATTTAGAGAAAGAGAAAGAGAGAGAGAACAGAGAGAATAAACTTACAAGAAAAAAAAGGTTCTTTTGGAACTTCTCTGGAAAATGCCGAGCCTCCGAATTTGGGCAGCAACAGAACTTGAGAGCTTCCCACTTGTAATTGTAATACACCACCCTCCCTTTCTTTTCGTTTACTCAGGCAGAAGGCAAACCTAGCGTATTCGTGTTTTAAATTACACTATTGCCCATGGTGAACCGTAGAAAGCCCAGCCTCAGCCAATAGGCACGGCCGCACGGGCCAAGAAGATTTGGGCCAAAGTAGTCTCTCACTTTCTCCAGAAAGCCCAGCCTCAGTCAGTCCAAGAAAAAGGAGGCAAGAAGATTTGCCGCATGATAAGCTGAGCTGTGTTGTTAGAATTGCTTTGATAAGCTATACGATCGCAAAGTCGATTTTTAGGCTTCTTATTTTCACAGTTTTCAAATTTTTTACCAAATTTCAAGACTTTTTGGATTTCTTAGAGAAGCCAATATATAAAAGCCCTCTTAAATGAGCACTAAATTATCATGATATATGAACTAGGAGCAAGGCATGTTCCAGTTCTACAATGTGCCATTTTCGGATCGTACCATTTTCAAAATATATGATACGATACACCCAATACGGGGCGTATCGTATTGATACTTTAAAACATGTTTTCTACATTTTTTTCATATTTCTACATAACTCATCAGATTTAGATTGGTTCCTTTAATTATGATTTCTTGTTATATATTTATAATTAATTTTTTCTGTTTGTAAATTTTGTTCCCTTTGAATGGAAGGAAAATTTACATTTACAATGAAGTATGTGAAGGTAAAGATAGTTTTCTTTTTGATTGGACGAATTTTAATGGGAAGGTGAGGTGGCATATATCCATATAAATGACTTCTATGGTTCAACAATGACTATTACAATACTAAATGTCTTAGTTATGGTGTTTTGTCAAAGTACACATTTGTACCCAAGAAATTTAGTGATTAAGGGGTAATTTATGTCCAATGAAATTTTCATAAAATTACAATATTAAATGTCTTAATTATGGTGTTTTGTCAAAGTACACATTTGTCCCCAATAAATTCAGTGATTCAAGGGTAATTTATGTCCAATGAAAATTCCAAAAACCATACCCTATTCACACTTATATAAGTAGTATAGATTGGACTGCACTATGCCTAATCGAATAGTTAGCTTTCCAAGCTTTTGATATGAAGGTTGTTTTTATGATCATTGGATGATGAGAATAGTTAGTAGTGTACTGTCACAGTTTTTAACCCTAAACTTTACTTCAAGTGGCTTGAAGAGGCAAACACCTTGAAATGTTATTAGCTAGGAAAATTGTGAAACTCGCCATAAGTTTTTAACATTTCTCTTAAATTCACCATAACTTTTCAAAATATCTAAAACTCACCACGTCACTAACTTGATGTTAAACATACTAACGAGTGTTAATATATTACCATTTTACCCTTTATAGAAAATATAAAATATATACCTAGATTTTAATATTTTAACTACAAAAACAAGAAAAAAAAGGAAAATGTTCAAAAAATATTTTCAAATATAAAATACATAAAAACACAGAAATGACAAAAAATATAGAAATTGAAAAATAAAATCAGAAAATAAAAATTGTAGAAAAAACACCTAAAATTATAGAAAAACACAGAAATTGCAAATAAATAACAAAAAAATCAGAAAAAAATTATAGATTGTAGAAAATAGAAAAATTTAGAAAAACAGAAATTATAACAAAACATTGGACATTATAAAAAAACACTAAAGATGCAAAAAAAAACAAGAAAATTGAAAACTGAAAGAGACAAAAAAACTCAAAAAATATAAAGATTGGATAAAAACAGATATTGCAAATATACATAAAATGATAAAAATTAAAAAAATTATATATTATAGGAAAAGGTAAAAATTATAAAAAACACAAGAAAGCGATAATTTTTTCAAAAAGATAATAAAAACCTACACAAAATTGCATAAAATGAAATTAAAAATATCAACTAAAAAAGCAAAAATTAAAAAAAAATGATATTTTTTTAAATTACATATTTTGGAAAAAATAAAAAATTACAAACAAATTAATAAAATGATAAAAATTTTCAAAAAAAACAAAAATTAGACATTGAATCCGAAGATTATTGCAACAAAGTTTCAAAAAATATTTCAGTCAATTAGATAAAAATTTACAAAAATAGGGTAAATTACAAAGATCCCCCTATACTTTGTTTTGCAAAAAAAAACCCCTTGTATTATGCCTATGAAACAAAAAACCCCTTCTGTTAACTTTCCGTTGAAATCCACCGTTGCAACATTTTTTAACCCCCGTACTACGCTTGTAGTAAGAAAAACACTATTCATCTTCCCCAATTTCATCAGAGCATCACGCGCCAAAACCCCTTGCAAGCAGTGGCGCCTGTGTCGCTGGTGGAACTCGCCTGGCCGAAACCAGTTGGCAGGAAATCATCGGTGACATCATGTGCCCAAACCCCCTGCAAGCGATGCCATCTGTATCGCTGGTGGCATCAGCCCAGCCAAACCAGTTGGCAGGCAGTCACCGGCAAAGGTAAAGAGGTGGATTGAGATCAAGCAGAGACGGTGATGTTGCAACTTCTGGCTGAAACCAGTTTCATGCCTTTGCTGTATAACTGACCTGCAACTTCATCCTTTGCTGATGGAAGTTTCATGCCATGCTGTATAACTGACCTTTGCCAATGGCAAGCAATCATTGGCAAAGGTAAAAAGGTGGATTGAGATGAAGCAGAGACAGTGTTGCTGCGACTTCCGGCTGAAAAACGGTAGCCAATGATTTCATTTCCAACCGGCAAAGAGAGCAGAAAAAATTCCAAACGTCTCTCACAGTGCTGCTGCAACTTTCGACCGAAACCAGTCATCGGAAATGGTAGCAAGCTTTGCCGAGAGGGGAAATCGGAAACAGTAGCCAATGGTTTCATTTCCAACCAGTGAAGAGAGCAACAAAAATTCCAAACGTCGCCTGAGAGATTCAAACTCTCGCGGGGGAAACCCCATGTACTTAGTAGGCACACTCCTTAACCACTCGGCCAAAGCGACGATTGATTTCAAAGCTAGTATCAATCCAACAAGACTGAAAAACAATACAAAAAAAAAAATAGTATCGCCTTTTCCGGCTTTCTTTCCGACCGTTTCAGTTTTCGTCGAGCAGGGGATTCACCGAGTCAGAAAGCCATAACTCGGTAACAAGCTTTCAAGAATTATTTTTCAATGCACCTAATTTGTTTACCTATAAAATTTCTTATAATTTGTATGTTCAGGAAACAAATACTATTTTTGTTCTAACGTTCGAACTAAATGAGAAAGATAAGTGAAAAAAACTGAGATTCGTTTTACACAAATCTTCTCCCTCACCTAGGAATGCTATCCCCATTCCCTAAGAGCTTGAAGTTGGGCGATCTTCTCGGTGATATGGGCAGACATCTGTTGTTGGGCTATCAAGCATTGTAGTTTCCATGATCGCGGCATCGTTGGCGAAGACTATAGAGACGAGATTGAAGACGAAGAAGAGAAGAAAGGGAAGATGAGAAATGGGTTTCCTTCATCCTTTCATTTCGGAGAGTTGGGAGAGAGAAAGAATGAGAGAGGACAGTGAGGGAGGGGGAAAGAAGAGAAGAAAGGAAAAACAATAGGTTAAATAGGTTTTAAGAGAAAATGGGCAAAAAAAGAAAATAGAAAAAGTTTAGTGGGGTATTTTGATAATTTAATGTATTTCATCATTTGACTTAACGGTCAAGGGGGTCTTTGTCTCATGGTCATAGTACAGGGTGATCTTTGTAATTTACCATTTTTTTTGCATAAATTTGTAGAAACCTTGATGAGGATTTACATCCCACATCAAAAGAATACATTGCAAATGTTTCAAAGCATAAAAAATCTTTAAATTTCTTATACCTTCTTTCAAATCTTCAAACGGTAGATCTGTGCAGCAACAACCTTCAAATGAGATAAATAGATAGATAGATAGATAGATAGATAAATAGATAGATAGATAGATATAGAGAGAGAGTGGTGCAATGGCTATCTTCAAGATTTGAGCGAGAGAGAAGGTGCTACGACAGCAGCAAGATCTGAACAAGAGAGAGGGTGATGCAGTGACTACCTTTAAGATCTATGCAAGAGAAGGTGGTACGACGGCCATATTTGAGTGAGTGAGAGAGAGAGAGAGAGAGAGAGAGAGTTTTGGTCTAACCCTAACCTAAATGACCTTCTTCCTCTAACTTGCCATTCAAGGGTAGTTTGGTCATGCAAATTGTTATTTATGTTGACATGGTCATTTTTGTTAAAAACATTAACGGTGCACTAACGAAATGTTAGTTTGGAAAATAAAACTCAGAAAAGTTGTGCTGAGTTTAAGAGAAATAGTGAAAACTCATGGTGAGTTTTAGACAATTTCTCTATTAATTAATAACAAGTGGATGGGAAGAAAATACAGAAGAGGACCTAGCTTGTCTTGCTCCAAACCCATAAAAAGGCAAATAATATACCCGAACCACATACCGACCCAAAGTGTCTTCACAAGTCCATATTTGCAGGCTGAATTCCAAGTTTATTCTTATTGAAGTGCCATATTGAGTATAAACATTTTAGTTGGCAATATCGGTGCCAAATACAATATTGCCCTAGAGCACTTACTCAACGCTTAATCAGCAATAAATACTACCTGATGATGCGCAATCCGGCTGGTCTTAGTTGTCAGCGATCTTGCCTCTAAACCGAGTAGCAGAGAACCTGAAACGGAGGAGATGAAGAAGCTCCGGGGAGAACCCGGTGTAAAGGCTCCGAAGCTTAAGTTAGAATCCTTCAAAGGCAAGATAAACCAGATAGCGCAAAGTTTTTGCATACCTCATCTTTGGGGGTGGAGAGCCTTTTATAACCACCTCGTGCACTCACTCCTAGACTCCTGTAAGGTCGGGAATGAGTATTTCCGTGCTTCTGCCAGTTCGGGCGTCATTGCCTCTGCTGGGGCAGAACCGTCACTGCTCCTTTTGTCGGAGCCGTCTCTATAACTGGGGGCAGTGGTGACAGGTGACGGTGGCAGGTGGCTGTTTGAAATGCGGCCGTCAAGCGTCAGATCCCAAGTCAGTCAGGTGCGCCGCCCTTGGATA